CTACCAGTCTTCCAAATCTGAAGAGAACGCATTCTGGGAGAATGCCGAAACCTCTAAAAATGCCTGAATTTTGAAATCAGAGACATGGGGGTTGGGACATGGTGTAATTATAAACATAATTACATGCATAAATCTATTGTGTTAATAATGGGAAAACTTAGGGGAGATGTTGCACAAGAGTGGAGAGATCTGTAAGGGTTATTCTTAGGTGTATATCAAGCGTCAACTACTTTACATGGACTAAGACAGGGGACTAGATTTTTTAAATTTCAAAGGTCTAAAATCTGTCATTGAAGTCTCCTTCATAGTCTCTACCAAAGTCTATGTCAATAAAACTGTGCCTGGCTGCTATTATGCAATAAACTACATTTTGTTTAAGATTCATTAGACTATAAGGTGGGTTTCCTCTGCCACATTAAACCTGTGGATCCCCAACAGAGAAGAAAATGTGGCAACTATTCTCTCTCTCTCTACATTACAAAATACTGCAATAATAATAATACCTCACAAGCTAACCTGTACAATGCTTACAATCACGTGACACAGTTTGTGTGAGCTTGTCTGACAGTCAGACTGAAACAAGAGATCAGCCCATGCCATGCCAACCTCCAGTCACTGATTGGATATTTCCTGTTTCAGATACCTGGCTAACTATCACCTAAGGCATGTTTTCTCATACTCCACTCTGCACGTAGCCTGCACGATCAATCTTTGACACGGTCCAATCTTCAGCAATTGATCAGACGACCACTGTCAAACAGCATATGTATGCCACATCTACCGCAGTCAGTTTACCTTTCACCCATTAGGGCATCCGCTTGTTTTGTCTGGAAGGAGGCTTATCTCCTGATTTTAATGAACATTGACCCCAGGCCAGTCTGCTCACAGCTGCACATATAGACCACTTCCATGCAGTTTTGATGTTGTCCAGTTGACCTTATGATATCTAAGCAGCACAACCCTGGGGTTAACTGCACTTTTGTCTTGCTGACGGTCACTGTTCAGTTTTTCTCCTGCTGATTTACAACATTTAATTTAAACTCACATATCCCTTCAGAAAATATGGAAGTCACCAACAGAATAATTGACTTTTCAATAGAGCAGGCTTCGTATGTTTTTTCTCAATTTGGCTGACCCAGCAGAGTTATACTGACTACCTACACCACAAATAGGACAGATCCAATCCAGCCAATTACCACAGCAGTCTGTTGTCAAAGAGATGGAAGGTGTCACCAGCAATCAGGCAACTCTTACTCAGCAAAAATCTGCACATTGACACTTAGTTTGGGTTCTTCCAGGATCATTCAGCTCAAACCTTATTAAAGACTTAGTCCAAACAAAAAGGGCTCAAACTCTAGAGGTAAGGAGAGGGTGACTATCCTCGACATCAGTGGAGCACTTAACCAAATGTGCCATCGAAAAGTCTTCACAAAATTGGGATCAAAGGTAAATCAGAGAGTGAAAACTCTCCACTAGTTGTAACAAACCAAGCACAAAAGGATCCAAATGTGGTGTTGGAAGTCAGTTCATCTACAACACATCACTGTAGGAGTTCCTCAGCATAGTGCCATGGGTCCACACCCCTACTTCAACTGCTTTATCAATGATCTTTCCTCTAAAATAAGGTTAGATATGGGGATTTTCACAACCACTTCTACCTCTGCAGATACTGAAGCTGTCAATGTCTTCATGTAGCAAGACTTGTTCAGTTTCAAGCGGCACGGTGGCACAGTGGTTAGCACTGCTGCCTCACAGTACCAGGGACCCGAGTTCGATTCCAGCCTCGGGCGACTGTCTGTGTGGAGTTTGCACATTCTCCCCATGTCTGCGTGGGTTTCCTCCGGGTGCTCCGGTTTCCTCCTACAGTCCAAAGATGTGCAGGTTAGGTGGATTGGTTGTGCTAAATTGCCTGAAGTGTTCAGGGAGGTGTAGATTAGGTGGGTTATAGGGGGCTGGGTCTGGGTGGGATGCTGTGAGGTTCGGTGTGGACTTGTTGGGCCGAAGGGCCTATTTCCACACTGTAGGGATTCTATGAAATTACAGAATCCCCATCGTGTGGAAGCAGACCATTCAGCCCATTGGGTCCACACTGAGCCTCCAAACAGCATTCTGCCCAGACCCACCCTTACGCTATATTTTCCATGGCTAATTAACCTCACCTGCACATCCCTGGACACAATAGGCAATTTAATATGGCCAAACCACCTAACCTGCACATGTTGGACTATGGAATGAAACCAGAGCACCCAGCAGAAACCTACACAAACATGGGGAGAATGTGCAAACTCCACACAGACAATTGCCCAAGAGTGGAATCGAACCCGAGTCCCTGGCACTGTTAAACAGTGCTAACATTGAGCCACCATTTAATCAGATAAATGAGTGGTAGCATTTACACCATAAGTGGCAGGCAACGACCAGTTTCTATGAGACTTAAGCTGAACATCTGTTTGAATGGTCAATGGCATTACCATCACTGAATCTCCCATGATCAATATACTGGACATTAACATTTACAACAAAATTAACTGAACTAGCCACTTACTTAATGTGTCTGCCAGAACAGATCGAAGGTTGAGGTTCTGCAGTAAGTCACTTCCTGATCTCTGAAAGCCTGAGTAAAATCTACAAGAAATGGGTCAGTAACATGATAGAATACTCGCCATTGCCTGGCTGAATGCAGCTCTGACAACACTCTAGATGTTCAACACTATTCAGGAGAAAACAGCATTGCATCTTCCACCTTTGATATTCACTTCCTTCACAATGCCAGCAGCGTCTACCATCTAGAAAGTGCAATTTGCTAAGGATCCTTTCCTCAGCACCTTCCAAGCTTACAACCTTTACCACCTAGAAGGACAAAGACAGCAGTTGCATGAAAACAGCACTATTTATAAAGTTCTCCTTCAAATCTCACACTATCTTGGCTCAGAGCTATATTCGCATACCACCTCTGAGTCAGAAAATGGCTCGCCTCCAGATTCTCAAGGCTAATTAGGGGTGGGCAACACCTTACCAGTAGCATTCTCATCCTAAGAACAACTGGAAAAGATTTAAAATAACATAATTCAGGATGTTACATCTTTTTCAATTGTATGATATATTTGCCTATTTCATGTGACCTTCAACATCTTTATTTAAGATTTTACTTCACAGTCTCAAACTATCTCAAGTGTCGGAGCTGCAACCAGTTTTTCCTTCTCAAACATTTCAGAACAGTTGTCCAGAGCTGTTAATCACAAGCGTGCTTTCTGAGTTTGTGTTGTGTTTCACAGAGTTGCCCACATGGAGTCTGTCCATCAACTGGATATGAAAGGTAAAAGTTTTGTCCTTTCTTCCTTCTTTTACCCCTTACACATGAATTGCAAAGAAATGGAATTGAATTCTTCTTGACTTCAAATTAATAAAGAGGTAACATTAGCATCCGTGAGAAGAAATATTTGGGTAGAGAAACACAAGTATTCATGATTTCTTTGTTTATAAGAATGTAATGGTACTATAAATATGGTTCAAAATCTCTCAAATCATTGAAACAAATAACTTTTGTTTATAGAATTTCTGCTTAATCAAGAATGCATAAACATACATTTACTAGAATTTCTATTTCTGTGGTCCTGACACTTGATGGCGAAAACCCAGCTCATGATTTTCCAACAATGTTTCAAGTAGCTTATGATGATGTGGGAGGTAATAGCCAAGACTCAAATCAGCTTGTGGGGAGGGCGGCGGGGGGTTGTATCCAAAGCAATTGGATTACATTTGCCTTATTTCCCATTCTTCACAATGATGTTAGACATTGATTACAATCCCTGCCCTCCATACATCCACACTCAGATCCCAAAAGCACAACAGTTCAACAATTTAAAATGGTGTCTTGTTCCCCTATTGTTCCTAAACACACAACTTCCAATGTTTCCAGGTGCCAGAGCCATTCCCTACGTGATCCCAGATCCCGGTTTGGCAGTCCTACAATTTCTTTCTCCAGTGCCTTAACGTTGTTAGCAAATTCCACAACTCCAACCCCCACCAAAAACGGACCCAAGCTATGGTGATTAATACAGGACTATAACCCAAAAATGACAAATCTGAAACGCACCATGGCAGTTTCAGAATTAGAATTCAGTTTTTTTTTCCCCCTGTAGAAACGGTCACAAATCATCTAGAAAACATCGACTGGTTCACTAAGGTCCACAAGGAACGGAAACATTCTCAGGCAGCTTTCTCTGTGATTTCAGCCCCACACTAAATAACATAACTGAGCAAGTTGCTCCGTTAGATCGGAACTTCCTTGGGAAGCTAGGGTTGTAATAAATGCTTTGTTAGCAACCCCCAGATGCAGAGGATGATTAAACAGTTATACTGCTCTGAATTGTTCACTGTGTTTCCGTGCCCACAGATGCTGCCAGACCTGAAGATTTCTCTAGTACGTTGTTTTTATTTCAAATGCCCAGCATTCCTCTTTTCTTTGATTGTTCTTACAAAAACCCTGCGTTATGGTAACACCGCAGGCGACACGTTAAAGTGACTTCATGTCCCCCCGCAGGTACAAAATACAATTCTGAATTACTTATGTGCAAACTACAAACGTAATTACCACTTGGCAAAACTATAGTTACGTTCTTGATAATCAGATGTCAAAATGAAGCTTTAACTAACAAAATTAACAACAAAACGGATTAAAACTTGGATTTATTTAATCAGACCAACCCAAAAGACATCATGTTAAAAGAACATATACGTTAGGTATGATGAATTAAAACAGCACCATACAGTGGTGCTCGCTCCTAATATTGGCGGAAGTAATAAATCAACCTCTATACTCCAACACATTATTCGAAGTTGTGACAGATAACACTTTAGTTCGAATGAAAACAATAAAACTTATGCAAAACTTTTCATTCTTCGGCTTTCCTATGAAACACAAGTGCTGGGAGTTTTCAGTGAAGACTCACAAGCCGAGGAGCTGCCCCAGCTGGCCAGCCTGCCACTGCGAGACTTACCGGTGCCTGTAGCTCTGCTCCACTCTCTCATGGTCCCGTTCACCGTGTCCCCCCCGGGGCGAGCCGCCTCCCTCTGGAGCCGGGGCTCCGTTACTGGGCTCACTCCGGCATCCAAGCCTTGGCAAAGTGCCGCTTTTCCGGCTCTGGTCAGCTGCATTCCCCCCCTTGCTCCTCTACTGACACTTCCCACTCTCCAGACTGCAGCACACTCTCTGTCCCTATTCCGTTTATTCTTGGCTCCCTCCGATCCCTGTCACTCTGTCTGGGAGCTGCTCAGAGAAGTCGCTGGGCTCATGCACGCGCTGGGATGCTCGTGCGCGTGGGGCTCATCCCAAGGCGCGCACCTGACAAGCGGTACCGAAGCAGACTTCCCCTCGCAGGCTTTTGCAAGAAGCAACGAAACCCTCCTGTTGGTTTTTGACAAAAAAGTTTTAACTGTTTAATAATAATGAAGCGGTGAATAATATTTTTATTTATAAATAAATTACAGTTTACTACCCTACCCACCCCCATTACCCAAGAAGTTTTCTTTTCCCGGGCATTGAGATGAACCACATTTGTCTTTATATGCGACTGTTTCCAGTTTCCAACCACACATCCATACTGTCACTCAGACTTCCTACTTCCATCCTCACAATTCACCTGGTCTCACTCCTATCTCCACTAATCTACTCACCCTTGTTACCCCTTGGCTTGACGCTTCCAACTTCTCCCTGACAGTCCTCCCAGCTCCAGCCCTCCATGGTCTTAGGTTTGTCCACAACTTGCAGTCCCTCTGTTAATTCTCAGCAAGAGCTACTCAACCATCTGCCCTGTGCTCACTGACCTACCTTGGCTCTCAGTTAAGCATATCTTGATTTTAATCAGGGTGATCTAGGTAGTGACCCATATTTTAACAGTCCTGGGATGTCTTTTGTCCCCTATCACTAGCCCATGGGAGATTCTGCCTGGCAGTTTCCTCTTGCCTTGGTGTCTTTGTTACTTGTATGTGAGCATATGCACTGCAGCTGTCCTCCACCCCCAAAGCTATGGGCAGTAAAACTATCCCCTGATTTCACACTCTGCCTCCTTCAGAGTAAATTCATTTAGCCGGGATATGCAGTCTGACAAGGGCAACACAGGCGAATACTGTTCCCACATTGCTCAGCGGCATGTGCTTAGATTGTTGTTGTAATCTCTGCAAGTCACCCTAGTTCTCTTACAGGATCACAATATTTGCATCATGCATGTCCAGGGTTACTGCCCTCTTCCTCCATCAGAGAGAGAATTGCACGCAGATGTTGCTGGAGTTCTAACCGGTTCTCTGTGCTTGATGACTAGGTGATATAGCCTCCAGAGCCTTGCATATGGCAAGTGAGTCAATAGGTTTGCTAAGCTGTGGGTTCAATCTCCAGCTGTGCCATGACAGGCAGATTTTTTAAAATGGAGCCTAGAGCTTCTTTGGTTACCATAGTCTCCATAGAGTACACTTTGAGGTAATAGTTCACCAGCCCTTTAAATGTTTATTGCAGTTGATGATGGCTTCCTCTGTCTTTGTTACCAACTGAGCTTTTTTTTCCACTGATGGGCCTGAAAGGTGCCATATAAATATGTGATATTACTGTAAAGAAAAGATGGTGATGCTGGTGGGCCCCAGCCTTTATGCTCTGATGTGCTTTACAGTCCATACCGGTTGGAGTTTTACAGAATAAAAAGAAAAGCACAAATTGACACTACTGGCCAATGTTTCCAAAGTGATTTCTGTAGTCATGCAACAGTTAGTCATGGGAGTACTTTGAAAGATTAGAACACATAGAAGCAGTAGGAGGCCATTCAGCCCCTCAAGCCTGTTCTGCCATTCAATGTGATCATAGTTAATCTGTGGCCCAACTCCATATACCTGCCTTTGACCCATATCCTTGAAACCTTTGCTTAACTAAAACTTATCTTTCTCAGATTTAAAATTAACAACTGATCCAGCATCCACTGCCTTTTGTGGAAGAGACTTCCAAACATCTATTCCCCATTGTGTGTTGAAGTGCTTCCTCACATCTCTCCTGAATGGTCTGGTTCTAATTCTCAGACTGTGTCCCTTGTTCGAGAGTCCCCAAACAGTGCAAATAGATTATATTTCTCCACCCTGATTTTTCCTATTAACATTTTGATCAAATTCAGATTTTAGAGAAAACAAGCCTAATTTTTACAATACATTCATTTGCTCTTAAAAGCATAGAAAAGAGTAGAAACAAAGAAAATAGGAGCAGGAGTACACTATTCATCCCTCAGAGTCTGCTCTACAAGTCGTTATGATCATGCTGATCATGCTGATCATCCAACTCAATAGCCTATTCCTGCTTTTCCCCCATATCCATGGACCCTTTACCACCAGGTACTATTATCCTACTCCTTCTTGAAATCATACAATGTTGTTTTGAATTGAAATATCCAAGACCTGTCATCCAAGTGCTGGATTTACCAGCACTTTTCAGATTCTGGTGTAGACCCTTGCTCTCTCTCACTTCAAGCCCACGATTAACTACTGGTATTTGCAAGCTTATATTACTGCATGCTTGAGTTTTATATACATCCTCCACATATTGTGGAGTGTGTATTACCATGCCAGGAAGCCATACATTGACTACTTTTTCAAAACTGCAGATAGGTAGCTCTGCACAAAGTCTCATTATCACATCATACGAAGCCCTAGGAACAATTGCTACATCAATTCATTTTAACTTTAAATTAGGCTAAAAATATTGAATCCTCATCACTTACCTGCTGTTTGAATAATTGAGTAGAATCAAGTTATGCAACAAATCTTTCTTAAATCCATCCTCTCTGTACAGCATAAATGTAAGTCTTGTAGCAATGTGTATATGTCTCTGAGTCAGAGTTTCAAGTTCAAGCCTCAATCCAAGGGAAAGTGTATTCATAATTTGGCCAAAATCTTTCCAATACACCTACATCAGGCAGTGTGATTGCAAGACCGTCCAGGCTGGACATTGTTGATGTAGAGTCACATCTCTCAAGCAATAGCCTCTGGTAATAGGCTACCAACCTCCAGGCTAGCAAACTAGATATGGAACAAGACCTAAGTACATTCTTTCTCTGCTTCATGTCCCAGCAGGCTTGGGAATGATATAAAGGTAGGCCATAACGGCAAGCCAGGCCTTAAAAATGTACAAAAGTAGAATATGTTAAAACAATGGTCCCTGTTTTGCTAAGACTAATTTGTGCAGTACTTACTCCATGTCTCCTCATGTGATAGGCTTCCAGTCATGTCTAGATCAGGGATGTGGTAGGGTCTGCTTGCAGGTAGTTCTGCTGGAACCACCAGAAAACAGGTTATTAGTGAGTAGGTGCCATTTGATGGCAGGAATTGCACAGTTTAGATTTATTCTGCATTTTGTGAATTGGAACATACTAAGGTAATATTCGACCTCGTCAGGTAGATGTCAGTGTCTTAGTTGGGCTCCAATAACTTTGCTGGTAGAAACTAGGAGATCTTCTGTGTAGCAATTGTTAGTGAATGTGCCAACATCATACCTTGCAGTTTTTTAAACTGAATTCTTATGAAAGGTTATTGATCTGAAATATTGACATTGTTTCTCTTTCCACAGAAACGCCTTGACTGCTGAACATTTCCAGACTTTTCTGTTTTCATTCCAGGTTTCCCGCATCTGTAGTGCTTAACTTCTAAACAATACAGGATCCATCAGAGCATATGCCAATGATTCTGACTTGTATGTTGTCAATTTTAATGTTGGCTTTCCTTCACCTGTGAACTGTTAACAATGCTACACATTCTCATCATTATCTGATAATGACGGTCATTACAGCTTTCATGTTCAGGTGAAACTGCCTTTTTCAATTTGTTAGTGATCAAAGCTTGAATTTTGTTCTGGTCGTGTTGATAGTTTCTACTGGCATGAGTAGCGGGTATAGGCAAGAATTAGTAATAGTGTCTTCTCCTTGATACCTAGGATATTGGACATAAGAGAGACTGGTTTAAAAAAATCTGCAAAAACAAAATACATATTATCACTTACGTAATGTTTTATTACCTAAACAGAGCATTCCAGAGTACTAACTTAGTCCTTTGTACTTGTTAGGGTTTTCCTCTGTAGACTTTCATGGGTAAATCTTCACAGGAAATACATGATATACACAATATGCAAAGTTGATAGATACATTATACTTAAAAATCAACGGATTTATCTAAATTAGACTTAGACACCATGGAGATTAAGCTTTGTTGAAGATTGTTCCTGACTTCAATTGTTTGTGGGAAAAAGGAGTTAGCAAAGGCAACACATTAAAATGTGTACAGTTGTAGTTGTTCATTATGAACTCTTCGAGCTCGGCCGTTTCTGGGTTTGATATACTGCTTAGAATTATTTAATTGTCCATTCAAAATTTAATAGAGGCATGTCAATCTAAGGGCCTTCCTTCAGTTCTGGAAACTGTGCTAGCCTTGAGATGAAGCCACTGCTGGTATGTAAGCAAATGCATCCAAAATATTCATATCACAGTATCAGTGAGATTTTTAAACTAGTTATTGTACTTTTGGTAGTCTTGATTGAGGAAGAAAATAATGTCTACTACAACATTGTTTATGTCAATCTAATAGATAGCCATGCCCTTGGTTTAATATCTTACTCGAAAGACACAACAGTGTTCCCAAATGACTGTACTGAAAAGTCAGTCTCTGCTCTGTGTTTTCAATCTGGGAGTGGAGCATGAATCCAACATGAGCCCAAATTTCAATTCAGGGCAATTTTTTCACACAGGACTTTGCTCATTAGAAGCAACTTCTGAGAGAGCTGTGGAGTTTAGTCTGTTTGCATGGTTGTCTGAGAGATGCCAGAGGCAAAAACCTGCACTGCATTATAAAAAAAACTTGAAGCTGTATTGGTATTGCCATACAAAGAATGGTGGCTCATTGGTTAGCACTGCTGCCTCGCAGCACCAGGAATCCAGGTTTGATACCAGACTTGGGCGACTGTGCGGAGTTTGCACATTCTCCCCATGTTTGCGTGGGTTTCTGCCAGGTACTCAGGTTTCCACTCACATTCCAAAGATATGCAGGTTAGGTGGACCGGCCATGGTAAATTGCCCCGTGGTGTCCAGGGATGTGCAAGCAAGGTGGATTAGCGATGGTAAATACCAGGATTGGGCAGGATGCTAGGTCTGGGTTGGATGCTCTTGGGAGAGTTGGTGCAGACTCAGTGGGCCAAAAAGCCTCCTTCTGCAGTGTAGCGATTCTAGGATTCTAAGAGTTGGAAAGGGTGGTGGGTGGGGGTGGGGAGTTGGTGAAGCAGGGTGTGGGTGGTGGAATGAGTTGAATAACATGTAATCAATTGGCATGAACAAGAGCCAATGGCCTCAAT